TCTTCCCTTTTACATCGAGCTTAATTATCTCTGTCTGTATTATCCACCGTATTTCCTGTATCTATCCCCAGCTCTAGAATCATGCTCTTGTTCATTTTACTCCGTTATGTGTTTATTTCATTTTAGTTTATTGTTTAATACTTCCAAAGATATATTTAGTTTGTAGTAGCGTGCGTTTACTTCCCCCCCTCATCAAATCAATTTTATTTGTAAGCAGCCACCGCGCTGCCCTAAGACTGTAATTTATTATTAACAAAAAAACAAAAAGAAAACTAAGAAATCAGGCTAAACCACATAGAAGGCCTCGAATGAAACGATAATTTAGTTAGATTGTATGTAAATTTATTTTTGATTTCCTGTGTCACAAGGCCAGAATTTATAGCGCTCGTTGCTATCAAAAATACGAACGAAAAGTATTAGCATAGAAATTTTAAATCGAACCCATCTTTCGGCTCATTTCGTTAACTTAATACAACACTAAAACAGATCGCATTAATTTACACGATAATGAATATTTATATAATACATCTAATGCAGTTTTTATACATTTTAGCGTTTAGTTTTTGATTTCCTTAATAAGTTTACGGCTAAAAAAAAAACAACCACACAACCACAAAAAAAAAATGAATCAAAACAAAATATATGCATAATACGAATATTTAAATATTGGTTTGAATTGACTTTTATGTTTCTTTATTTATTTAGCTGTGTTTTTACTAGAGACCTCTTATTTTCCTCAGATTTTCTGTTTGATGTGCATGCCCATTTCCTCCAGCCAGCGGCATGCTCTATGATCAGCGAAACATTTGCTTGAGGGGGTTGTTCAGATGGAATCTTTCACATGGAATTTTGAATTGGCAAAAAGCTCAATAGAAACTACTTCTTTTACAATATTTGTTTAACTTATTGTCAGTTTAGAAGATTATACTATTCCATGCCCGGTGCCCACTGAACTTTAAGGAGACCTTTAATCTGATTTCTGTTCTGGATACGTTTAGGACATGGGCGACTTCAACATAGCCACCTCATCGCTGCACGCACTTAGCACATCCTCCACGGTAGCAGCTGAGAAGCACAGTCCACACACATCACCCCGTTTGGGACGCCGGAGCACCACCCCCAGTCTGATGGCCGTACAGAATGATCTCTATGCAGGCGGCACACCCACCCTCAGTCTGCCCAGCAGCTCCTGCTCCTCCATCGCAGCCGCAGCCGCCTCCACATCCTCCTCCTCTTCAGCATCGGTTGGAACGGTGGCACCATCATCATCATCATCCTCCTCCCAGCACCAGCATCAGCAGCCCCAACCCTCCGCTCCTCCTGCCTCGGCCGTCCTCAGCAATGGAGGTGGAGGCGGCGGAATCAGCAACAGTCAGAAGAACACCAACCGGATGAGTGCTCCGCTAATAGGCTCCTGTGTGGCCAACTCCACCTATGGCCAGAAATTGCCCCAGAACTCCAGCAGCAGCAGCAGCGCCAGCGACAATGCCTCCAGCTCGAGCTCATATGCCATTTTGCAGAATCTCCACGATCCGGGGACACAGTCAACGGGGGCAGCGGTGGTGGCTCCGCCCTTGCCGCCCAGGAAATCCTCACCGGGCGTGGAGACACCCAGCAAGGCGACGGCACCACCACCGCCCAGCAGCAGCAAGAGCATCGACAACATCCAGTGCAGCTTGGACAATGTGCCGCCACAGACGACGGCGCCACCCATTCCGCCACATGTCACGTCCAGCGTGGACACCTTGGCCGAAGATCTGATGCGACAGCAGCGCATTGCAACGAGTACAACATCGCCGGTGCTCTCTCTGCTGGACGAGGACATCGTAGAGGTGGGTCCGGCGGAAACCATAAGCGGGGTAATCGATACCCGCCCGCTGGAGGCACGCGGCGTCACTTTGAGCCGGCAGGACTCGGCCTCCTCTCACTATACTCAACTCTGCACCACCAGCAGTGGTGGTTCCGCTGCAGCACTGGCCAACGGAAAGAGGGCCACCCCGGCCAAGCAGAGCCAAACCACAACGACGACAACGCCGGCAGCGGTGGCGGGCAATGGGGCTAATCCTCTCCAGCAATCGCAACCGCTGCTCTATGCGAACGTGACGATCAATCAAAAAGACTGCGGCACCGTGCCCTATGAAAACATTAACCTGGAGTACATAGCCCGGCTGATGAATGCGGGCTACTCAAAGGAGAACGCGATCACCGCTCTGGGGATTTCGCGGAACAACATCGAGATGGCCGGCGACATCCTGCGCGAGTTTGTCTCCAAGAATAGCGCCTGAAGTGCCATTCCCGCGACCCGTTAAATCAGATGATAGTGCTTCTACCAAAGCAAAAAAATCAATCGCCAGTCGAACTTCTCTAACTCGAATCAATATGGAAATTTATTTTCAATTTCCTAATATTTATTAAACATTTAAATAGGTTGTTAGATTTTTCGAAAAGAAAAGAATTAGGATTTTAGATTCGGTGAAATTGTTTTTTATAAGTGTAGTAATTTTCTATTAGGACTAAAATGTAACCAAAATATTAAAACATTTATTGTTTATTTTTAGGGCGCTTAAACTGGAATTTCATTTTATTTACAATCCGTTAAGATATATTGTAAATTAAATTTTAAAAAACTACGTACAGAAAACTCAGTCGTTTAACGCTGGTCCCATTCAATTTTGTCCGGACCATAAAAAAAATCAAGTTAGAGAAGGTCGACTGTAATCAAGAAACATTTGAATTCGAATCATGGTAAATATTTTTCGATTTAGGAGCACCAAACACCCCCAGTCCCACAGCAACGCCAGGTTAGGCGATCCCAGAAGATTGAACCGTAGAAATACCCACTTGGCGTAGCCAGCACAAGCAATTCAAGTTTCCCCGTTCAAAAAGTTATTGAAGAAAAAAATTAAAATATTGCTGGAAAGGCGAAAAAAAATTATGCACAACCTTTGGATATCAAATATAGCTATGTACACTTAAATTAAGACTATCTAACTTCTTCCTATTAAGAGCAAACAAATATATAAGAAATTATAGCTCGTATATACGCAGTTCTGGAAGGAAAAAGAAAAAACTTGCCCACCCCAAAAACACACGAAAAATAAATTAAAATTTTCTCTCGCTCTCTCGTATAGAATAACGAATCAAAAACAAAAGAAAAGACAAGATCAGATCTGGTCTACATATTGTATCTCAAGTAGGTCGATGCTTTCTTTCACTGTCATGAGCATGAGCCCATCTATAAGCAGTCCATCGATCCATGCGAAATAAAAAGAAAAAACTTTTTGAATTGGATGCCTCATCGTAGCAAATCAGAATCGAACACAGCCATTATTGAAATGCCTTCGGTGGCAAATGCCTCCAAAAAAAACACAGAACTCTGAGTTTCCCCCTAACACCAATTGCAAGCAAGGATTACCACAGTAAAGGACACAACACCAAAACAGATCCGATGCACTATCAAGTTTACCTCGATTTTTTATACAAAGCTCGAACGTTTTTGTAATAGTACGTGTAAGTTCGAATCGAATCAATTAATCTCCCAAACAAAGTTAAACGAGAAAATAATCAATTCAATTTGTATTACGAATCCCTTTTTACTGGCTTTATATACGATAATCGATCGATCGGTTTTTAAATTCGTCAAAAAAAAAATTCTAGTCCCACACAAGAACACCATTTTTGCCATACTCGTATATCTACTAAACCTAAGCGATATATATTTATAACTAGGCGATATATTAAACGTGCGACAACCAAAAATCGAATCGAATCGAAATCAATGCAATATATTCACTAAACGAGAAATCAATGCAAGCGTTAAATCATAAGATATTTGACATAACCTCAACACATACGAGTATAGAAGTATATAAACGAAAAACGAAAGGATCTTGAATTTTAAGCAGCATAAGAACAAAAGAAACAAATTGCAACTCCCTGAGAGCCCAGCAAACCGAAAGGAAGAGTCAATAAACTGTAAAGTTTAGAGAAGCGTACGAGAGTCTAAAGTGAAGGAAATGAGAAACGAAGATACCATACCATAGTCATGTCATGTAACCGAACAAATCTAAGCAGATATAAATTATTCTTATAAATAAAAACAAAAAATAAACTGAAAACAAATATTTTATTGGCTTTACGTGGCTTTAAAGGTAAGTACTGTTTACAAAGAAACGATTCCTACAATATCATCTGCAATAGTTATAGTATCAAAGGGATCGGTTTATTTAAATGACCAAACGACAAGGTTAGAAAACGATTTTTTGACTACATTCTAACATTCTATGAGTCATTTTTAAGGAAACTAATTTTTCGGATCCCTATGTACATGGAATATCCTAATTATTTCAACCTCTACAGACCTCCATAGTTGGCAAAGTAAAAAAACACAATTAAGGAATTTTTAGTTTATTGAAATATGTATTTATTATTTATTCTGTTGTTGTTGTATTATTTGACTTATATAGTTTGCGATTTTTTTTTCGTATTCAAGCACATATGTATGTATGTATTTTTCTTGTATTTTTTAATCTTTTTTGATGTTTTTGTTACATTTTGAAGTTTTTTCGATTTTTTTTGGATTTTATTTGAAATGTTTTTTATGTTGTTTTTGTTGGTTTTTCATAATAAGGATTTTAGTTACTGTGCTGTTCATTTCTTGCATTGCATGAATGACAAAACGCCCAGGTGCCGGCCGCTCTGAAAATGTTTTGGGCTGTGATGGCGTTTGGCATTTCTGTCGACTAATTCATCAACCTCAGTTACCCCACCCGCCCGTCAGGATATACCCCTCGGGATATATATCCGGCATATATCTATATAGTATATGTAGATGTATAATCGTTATACAATATTAAAGTTACTATTTTTTCTTGCTCTTTGTTCTGGTTTTTGTCTGTGAGTGTCTGTGTTGCTTAGTGTAAGTTTTTGTGGTTTTTGCTGTTGTAGTTGTATATAACATGGCTATAATAGGACGTACTGATCCCAAATTTGTTGTTAGCTTGTTAAATGTTTTTTTTACAATATTTTTTTTTGTTTCTTAGTAATTGAAATTCATAATTTTCACAATATTTGCTCTTTGTTACCGACACACGCTCATAAGGTTTGTTTTTTTTTTGTTTTATTATTTTTTTTTTAGATTTTTTCCGTATATGTATATAGATTTTTTAAAAATTATTTTTATAATCTTCATTAAATGGTTTCAACAGATTTGGCGCAGCAAATTAAATTTGCTCTTCATCGTCACAGAAAACTTTTTGTAATTTACTTCTCTGCTCAATATTTTTTTTTTGTGAATTTTCGCAATGCGTTTTGTTGTTGCTTTAAATAAATATTTAAGGTGTAGATGCTATGTAATAAGTTAATGCAACCGTCTGAATGCAACAAAAGAATTGGCGAAACAACTTGGTGTGTGTTCACAAGCAAAGATCAAATCAAAGGAAATGATAATTAATATTATTACGTTAATGAATATGTAAAATATATATGTACTTGTAGATATAAATACTTTCTTCTTCCTTCACTTCATTGATTGATTTGTTGTTTGATGTTGCTGCTGCGGTTGTTGATCTACATAACTGTTGCCGCCGCAGTACAATAATTATTCAATAAATATAATTCGTTAACAGTAAGATTGAAAGCAGTGAAAGAACAGTTTTCGAGAAGTACGAAAGAATACGAGTAGAGCAAGATACAGTAGAAGCATCCATATATAAATGTATTTAGAGAGTGTTGATTTATACAATTTCTATCGCAATTATGCAAGGATTTCGTTGCCATTCTAGAATAAATACTTCATAGATTATCTGGGGTGCATCAAAAATCACTAGGGTTTTGAAATCACTTTTAAATCAAATTTTAGGTACAATGAATTCGTTCAGAAAAACGTCTATACTTTTAGACCAGCGGTCGGCAGCTTCCCAATAAGTGGGCATAGGGAATAGCTCTGTTCGTTTTCTGCCGCCTCACAAACAGTATACAACAGAGGTCGGCACACACACATCGATAAGCTGCTCCGTGCAAATTACTCACACAAATAAAAGACAAAATGTCATTGTATTACGTGCCGATCGCTGTTTTAGACATCTAAAATAACGTTTAAAAGCGATTTCAAAACTGTAGTAATTTTTGTGAAAGCCCCGTAAGTTGCTTATTTCCTTCTTCTCACTTTGCTTTGTTTTTCGCATTGGTTTTTAATTAGTTAAAATTAGAGCAAACTAGTAGAAAATAGTATACGTATACAAACGTTTTGGTTTCATCTCTCAGACACTTGGATTTCAATTTCATTTTGCTTTAAACTGGCCACAACGTGGATCACGGTTGCGTCTAGTTGAAAACAAAGCGTTTCAATGGTGGAGGGGTTAGTTGGTAATATTACAAATAAGTTTCGATTTCAGACACGAAGAGTTCTCTTGTTGAGTTGCCGTTAAGTAGTTTCGTAAATATTAAATGTATGCCTTTGCTATCAATTATTATCAATTACGATCGTTTCCAATAGTGTTTGCTTGCTTCTAGGGATTATATTCGTTATAAATGTGTGTATATGGTTAGGGCGACAAGTTCACGTTGCTGTTAGTTGGTTGATTGGTAGCCTGCTCGCTTATGGCTTGCGTACAAGAATATATATAGCTGTAGGTAAGTGTCTTTGATGTGCATCTAATATCCTGTCTTGCTAATGCAACATTTTCAGCAATCTACTCCACCAAGTTGCCTGAAAAATAAAATTGTCACATGTAAAACCTTTCTACTAATTGATGGGATGTGCATTATATCTCACCTGGAATGCGTGGATGACGCGCTAGAACAGAAAAGCCTTTGCCCTGCGGTCCCTTTGGTGCACGAATGAGGATTAGGCGCGGCACAGTGTCATCGCCGTTGAGCTTGAGGCGCGAGATCAGACGATCCGGACGATCGTTTATTTTCAAAACATTGCAAGCCGAAGACTTTCCATTGCGCTGATGAAAAAAGAACAACCTGTTAGTACACAATCAATTTAAATAATAATAGTCATCAACTTACCTGATTAGTGACCACGGAGAACTCCACGGTGTCCCCTGGATGTAGAGCGACAGTATTGCCCTGCACCTCAGACATGTGGAAGAACAACTTCTTGCCATCCTCCACCTCAAAATTGAGAAAACCAAACTGCCCCTTAATGGAGTCCACAGTGGCGCGTTTCTTTTGCCTGACGGCATTCACGTTCGCTGCCCGACCGCTCTCATCAATGCGGAAGCTAACAAGATCGCCCTTCTGGAGCAGATCCCTCTTGTTCACCAGACTGGTGATCCCGAACTCGTGTTGCGAAATGACAGTGGTGCGCAGCTCGTCGAGAATTTCAATGAGACCGGCGTACTCCTGCTGGTCGGGATTGATGCAGCGCAGCGGACGAGCCACCACGCCATTGTGCGTGGTTTCCAGCACAGCCGGCTGAGGAATAGAGTTCTTGGGCAGCATGCGAACATTCTCCGCCGGCAGGCAGTTTCCAGAAACGGAGGTATTTCCGTTGCGAGCAAGAGTGTACTCCACCTCCTGACCCAACTCCAACCAGTTGGGGTTGCCCAGATAGTTGCTGAAGTGAAAGAAGACCTCCTCGTCGTGGGACAAAGTCTCAATGAATCCAAAATTCTCCTTCATAACGGCTATGAAGCCACGGTACACCTGACCGGACTCGGATCCGGCATGATTGTTGTTCTCCAGCTTGAAATCGTCCAGGTGGCCCGGATTGTTGCTGCCCACGCTGCTGGTGCTGCCACCGGGGCTGCCGTGCATGACATAGCCATTCTGCAGCGAGGTGTTCGAGCTGCTGCTACTGATTCCATTCGACAATCCAGAAAGCTGGTCATTCTGGTTGACGTTTCCTCCAGCATTCGGCTGGTTAAGAAGCAACTGTTGTTGCTGTTGTTGTTGTTGCTGTTGCTGCAGCGAAACTTGCTGTACGTTGACAGCTATACACTCCTTGTTACGTTTGACCTGGTGTATTAAAAAAAGTATTAGATTTCGTTTCCAAACATATCATTTCATTTTATATGAATTTATTCCTTGATTAAACTTACCATGTAAATATCGAAGCGTACTCGCTCCCCAATCCTTGGTGGTTTTTCGCAGTCTTTAAGAAAATACATTATAGTCTTTTTAACATCGGCATGCTCGTAGGTAATAACGCCGCCCTCAACGCGATCTTGAGATTTAATTGGGCTCTTGGGCGCCTCTCGTGTTACGCAACCTATTCACAGATTGTACGGTTCAGATAAGGTAAATATTAGATTGGTGATGAATTAAGCATACCCTCTATGTTGCTGGCCATTAAAGTTTCGAATTGCACTGAGTTGGGCGGCAAGTGTTTAATGCGTATGGCCTGCAAACGCGAGTTATTATAGGCCAATCCAGGCTCCTGAATGACAGTGAATTCCACCTCATCGTTGACATCGATTTCGCGGCTCTGTAACCAGGAAAATAGGTTATTGATAAAGTAATTAATTGAATACATTAATTTGTATTATTCTTACCGTATCTAAAACTTCAGTAAAGTGGAAAAATAGACGTGCCTGACGCTCTACGCAGCGCAGGAAGCCGAAGCCCTCCTTCAGTGAGGCAATAGTTCCCTGCTCTCTTTTCTCGCCGGACACCTTGAAGGTCTCGTCCAACAGGGCAATCGAGGTGGCCCGCTGCAATTGATCACGCCGATCGGTGGCGAGTAGAAACTGAACCCAATCACCATGACGCAGGGTGAAATCACCTTTCTGGTCCTTGTCCCCAAACGGTACCTCCACCTCGGAGTAATCCAAAGCCCTGTAACGGATGCGACCGGGCAAGGGATCATTGTTCTGGCGCACCGGATTGTTGCGATCAAGGGACTTGAGCACCTGGCCCTTATACACCGTGCTGTCCACGTCCTCGAAGATAACCGATCCCGGTGCTAGGCGCGTGATGTTGCACGCAAATTCACGGCCCTGCGGAGGCACAGATGCAGACTGCATTTTTGATTGAAGGAGGTTGGGGTTGGTCGGATCGCCGCTGCCACTTACGCTCCGCGTCTGGATGGTGAACTCGACATCATCACCGGGACGCAGCTCCACATTGCCCTCGGCCTCCGAGAAGTGGAAGAATATCTCCTTGACCACATCGGCGCGTTCGATGAAGCCGAACGACTCCTTCATCGAACAGACCACGCCTCGATACTTGACCGGCTGGGCCGGATTCTCTAGGCGAATATGGCAGGCGCCTAGGTTACCTCTGTAGAATAAAAGATTGTTGAATTAATTCTATGATTTATTTATTTATCAACTAATCCTTACCTTTGGTTCGTTGCGATTTGAAAGCTGACCTTGTCGCCAGCGCGCAAGTTGACATTGCCCTCCACATCGTCTTTGGTATAGGGTAAGAAGAAGCATTCGCCTCGGTTCTCATAGCTTATGCGACCGGTGGTCTCGCTGGAGTTGAGCACATTGTTGGCGCTATCCGTGCGCAGCTCGGTGGTCACCGTGCCGGTGACACGCTCCTCAGAAAGCACAACCTCAGGGGCTATTTTAGACACTTGACTAGCTATCGGCTTGCCGGTACGGCGATCATAGGTCATCTCAAACTCCACGGGATCTCCGATTTTCAAATGATCAATATTACCGCTGAATTGCGAGAAATGAAAGAAGAGTCGCGCCTGCCGCTCGCAGCACTGAATGAATCCATAGGAGTGCTATAATTAAGACGGAATAAATACAATTAGATATTGCGGTCAAGTGAAAGTTACCCCTTTCCACTCACCAGCAGCTTCTCGATGATGCCAGTTTCCCGGGTGGTCTGGCTGGGATCAGCAGCTGCGGCCGAAGAATTGCTGGACTGGGAACCAAAGATTGAAGAGGAACTCCCAGCTCCGTTGGTCAAAACGCTGTTAGATTGGAATACACCGATCTGAGGAGGATTCTGGATGACGTCGTTAACCTCATTGGCATCAAACATTCCAATGCTTTGATGTTGCTGCTGCTGCTGCTGTTGATGTTGCTGCTGCTGTTGATGTTGTTGCTGCTGCTGATGTTGCTGCTGCTGCTGATGTTGTTGCTGCTGCTGTTGCATATGCTGCTGCTGCTGCTGCTGCTGTTGGTGTTGCTGCTGCTGCTGCTGTTGGTGATGATGCATATTCTGCTGCTGCTGCTGCTGCTGTTGATGCTGCTGGGGCGACGGTCCCTGACCTTGCGGCTGCAATCCCAGCGTAGTCGAGTCAAGCGTAAAGGTTCCAATGGTCGGAAATGTAGTGGGAATTCCCAAATTGCGAATGGCATTCATGTTGAAATAACCATCGCATGGCAAGTTGTCATAGATTTCTGGAGCATTAAATTGGAGGGAAGAGAATTGTCAATATTATAAGGATTAGAAACGGATTAGGATGTTTATAAGTTGTTTCCCCTTAAAACAAATTATATTATGTACATTTTATGTACAAAGATCAAAAGAAGTTTTGTAATTAAAGATATAGATTCCTCCCACATATCAGAATTTTTTGGGTCACATATGTACCAATTTATCGCCCTTATTTGATGTGGAATTTAAAAATAAAAAACCGGATTTCTAAAAATAATGAAAATCAGAACCGGTTCTTGAGTGTTGCGTAAATGTTCCGTAAATAAGAGACCCAATTCCCCACTTACCTTCGCCGGTGCGGTACACCTTCGATTGGGTATTCATGTTGGATTGATTGATTGGATATTAGCAAACAAAGAAAAATGCTGATAAGGACTAGCAAATTGGAGACTGGTTCTTGGCGATGGTGATTGCGATGTTGTTGGTATTGTATGGTCAGTTAATCCAAACCCGGTAAACCGATAATGGATGCGTATGACGAGAACGATTGGAACGAGAGTTGAAGTTGAAGAAAGCGCGAAAAATTACCGAAAACAGTTTTATGGATCTATTTTTAGTTTTCTCTTTAGGGGTATTTTTAGGTTTTATTTTTTTTTTTTTTTTACTTTTTTGTGTTTTTTATATCAAAGAGAAAAAACTAAGCAATAAATACGTATTTTGTTTTTAAATTGTTTGTTTTGTTTTTTGTGTATATATATTTTGGCTAAACACTGGCACAAGAGGCACTGAAATTCCTTGTCTTCGAAGTTAATAAAAAATTTTTTCTTTTCTTGAGGGCATGCCCCGCAAAAAATGGTTGTTTTTCTTAGCTTTCCTTTGCTGTTGTTGGTTTGTTTTTGTGTTCCTTGTTGTTGTGTGTTTTTTTTCTTGTAAAAAATGCCGACAAATATTGTAACGTTGTTGGTTTGTTTTGGTAGTTTGAAGTTCCTTCCTGGGTCTGTTGTAGGTTTTTTTTCTAAAGTTTTTTTTTTATATATATTTGCTTGTTTTGTGTATTCAAAATATTGTTGTTTTACGATGAAAATGCATACCAGCTGCTGCCGTTGGTGTTTTTTGTTTATTTTTGTTCAAGTTTTGAATTATCATTGAATTATTGCATTTTTTGAAATGATTTTGGTTGATTTTTTTTATATTTTTACTTTAGTTTTACTAGAAAAATACACTGGGAATACTTTTTACTTTTGGGTTAGATTAGCTTTTGTTTGATATTTGAATAATTTGTGTTTTGCTTGATTATATTGTTTTTTGTTTTCTATATAGTATACATATATATAATATATATTTTGTAGGCAATCGTTGTGGTTTATAGGAAGTAGTAGTGATTTATTTTTAATTTACTTTCGAATACCCTTAGTACAACGATGATTTTTGGGGACGAGGTTCGAATCTCCTTCTTCTTCTTCTCCTGCTGCTTCTTCTTCTTCTCGGGACTTCCGTTTCCGGTTCCTCTCTCTCAGTGTCGATTTCCTATTTTGTTTCGCTGTACGTTGCTATTACTTTTCGGTTGCACGATTTGTATAATTTGTTTGTTGTTGCGGTTGATGTTTTATTGCTGTTTCATTTACTATTCACTAAGCAAAAATTATGAGTTTAAGGTTTTCTTTTGTTTTTATATATAATAGATATAGGACACCCGTTATGTGGAGTTATCCTCGCTCATTTACTATGTTGAACTTTAAGCCTACGATTTATTTTGTTTTGTTTTGTTTTGTTTAAATATATATATTTTTGAATGCGTTTTGAAGTCTTTTTATAACCTAGGGTTTTTATTTTTGCTTTGTGTTGGTTGGTTTTGTTATTTTTCACTTATTCCTCTGTTTTGTTTTGTTTTCTCTGTTCTCGCTCACTAGATTTAAGCTTAGTTTAATAGTTTATATAATATAATATATAATATACTATAGTATATATGTATCGAAGTCCTTTAAGATATCACGAATTTGTTTCAATGTTTTTTATCTTTTCATTTGCATTTGCTCTTAAGTGTAAAGTTGTTGTTGTTGGTTTAAGATGTTTTTCTGTTCTCAGCTTCCTCTTCGCTCCTTCTTCTTCGCCTATTGTTAAAAATTACGGGTTTTGCCTTTCATTCCATTAGAGATTTTTTTTGTGGTTTTCCTTTGCGTTTTTTCTTTTTTTGTTTATTTAAATTTATAAATTTACAGTAATTATCACAGAGTTGTTAAATCTTTCTTTGAATTTGTTTTGTTTTTCTTTCTCCGTTTTACTTCCGTTTGTTGCAGTTGCTTTTGCTGTTTTAGACTTTTAACATTTCTCACTAGGTACACTTATAAAAAAAACTGAATTGAAAACTAGTAAAAAACAATGTTTTATTGGAAAAAATAAAAACTGTTTCTTTGGCGCAAGGCCGCAGTTTTTGAGTTTGTTATGCGTTTTCTATATATACTTTATTCTTAATCCGTTTTTTCTTCACTAATATATATTTTTTTATTTATTGGCTAAGTTAAATTGCTGGTGTTGTTGTTGTAGGTCTGTGTAAAACGTGACTTAAAACTTATAGAATTCTTGTAGATTTTTGGTTTTAAATGTTTTCTTTATTGTTACCGTTATATTTGTAGTATATATTATTTTTATTCACACTTTTTGCGGCACAATTGTTGCTTAATCGGTTTTATTCTGCTCTCCCTGCTGCTTCCTCCGTTTATCGCTCTGCCTCTCACTTCCTTTTCGCCCTTTTGGGCTTTTCCAAGTTTTTATTTTTCGACTTAGATACTAGCAGTGTTTGTTTTTTGTAGTTAAATAATTTAGATTGATGTTGCGTTTTAAATTAAATCGTTTTTAATATGTTTAAATTATTTGTTGTTGATTTACTCCCGGTTATTTTGTACTTTAAAACATTAATTCAGTTGTTTGTTGTTGGTTGGTTGTTGTTGTTTGTTGTTGCTGCTGCTTTTGTAGCTCGGTTGCTGTTGTTGTTTTGTCTTAATTTAAATTAATTAGCAAATTGAATTCACTTTGACTTAACAACAAAAAATTCGTAATTAAATTAAAGCTTTTCAGGAAAAATAATGAGGAATTTTGGGATTGATTTAGCGTTTTTCAAAGTGTATTTTTTTTCGGTTTTATTTTTTGTTTTTTTATTCGAGAGTTCGAACGCCGCAGCGCCGTTGGCTTTGTTTTTCCCGTTAGTTTTCCGTTGCTTTTTTGTTTTCAGTGCTTTTGCCGTTTTCTTTTTGAACTCCGCTTTACTTGCTCCTCCGTAGTTTGCTTTTGCTTTTCTTTTATTTATTTATTTGTTGGTGCTTTTGAGTATTGACGAGTTAATTTCACAGCGTTTCAATTTGTTTGGTTTGTTGTTGTTGTTGGTTTTGTTGTTGTTTTTTTATTTGAAAGTCTTCGTTTCAAGCTTGGCTTGTTTTTTTTTTGTTTGTTTGTTTTTTATTTTTTATTTGCGCAGTCGCTTTTTCTCCCTCTCTCTCTCTGTCTGTCTATCTCGCTCACACCGACGGGCGGCGTAAAAATTCTCGTTTTTCCGATTTGTGTGTGTTTTTTCTTTGCAAAGCAAACGAAACAAAAACAAAGAAGAGTCCAAAAAACTTAAAAAGTTTTTGCTTTGACTTTTCCTTTTGAGCTATGTTGTTGTTGATTTTTTTTTATGTATTTTTGCTGTAACTTTCAATTATTTGCGTTTTATATTTGTTTGTATTATTTTTTGATTCGTTTTCGATGGTGTTTTTTTATTTTTATATCATATTTTTTGTTGTTTTTTATATTATTATTATTTTTATTCAGATTATGATGAAAGTGATGTCAAAACGGAGTTTTAGTTACAAAAGCTGTGGGGGAGAAAAAAGAGAAAGGTGGAAACGGTTAGGAATCATTTTTATTAGTTTTCGTTTTTTTTTTGGTTAGTGAAATCTACACCGAAAGTCTTGCTGCATTTTTATCGATTTTTCAGTGTAGCAATGGAGAGTTTTTTGCCTGCCGGAAAAATTGCACACACACAGGCTCATCCCACTACGCACACACACATCCACACCCCATACACACGCACACGCAATTGCAATCGTAAACTATTTTTACACATTATTGTTGTGGTTTTTTGCGTAAAATTAGCAGGCGAGCCGACTGTACACACACACAAGCACAGCCACCAAGTGCCAAGTTGGAAGAAAAAAACTTTTTCTTCCTCAACCTTTTTTTCGGGCTGCGAATTTTGGTACCCTCAAACGCACACACACACACAGGCACACTGGCTGGCCGACGAGAAAAACGTGATTTAGGCATTAAAAACCTAGTTTCTCTGCAACTTTTCATGTTTTTCCATCACAGCTTGGTTCCCGGCACATTTTCTGCACATTTTCATTGCGAATTTTAGTTAAATAATAGTCCTATGCGAAGCAAAAGAGAATTTTCTGGACCAGAAAACTAACCACACGACAGCACAACAACAGCTAGCGGACGCCATATTTGCGTTTTGTGTGGTTGCTCAAATCTGCGGTGGTGTCGCTCTTTTCACGAACACTTACCAACACTTAACTTTCTTAAAACGTATTGCATTGAACCAAAATTTGTTTCGGTATCTACTATTTATACTAATAATTTTTTACCTGAAATGCCTGGTATTACCAAAATTCAAATTTTCCACAAGTGATAAGAAATAACCAAGAAATGACCAAAACGTCAATAATTTGCGATGCACAACGTTTACAAAAAAGCAACCAAATTCGATTTGTATTCTACATTTGTTCCATAAGAAAACAAAACAAGTTTTAAACGAATTTTTATTTACGGCTTCCTAAGCAGCAGCATTAGTTGCCTAATCCATAATTAACTTAAATAGTATTTTAGATGATGTTAAATGGGCTCAACTATTTTGGTAATTGGGTTGTCCATGATCAGTTTTGTATATAGATTTTAAGTTACAAAATCTAGTCAATTGGTTATAGTGCCTTTTTATACATTTGACAGTGCAATATGTTATCAACTTTAATAGATTATCAAAACGCCCTTGGTAAATATGTCTGTGGGCTAATTTTAGTCAAAAAGATTTAATATCTTGCCTCTTGTTAATGCATAATGTCTTAGCGAGCACCTCGATTTGGTCACACAATAAATTGCATCTGGAAAAGGTGTAAAGTTTGGTCTTTGTGTACTTCATATATTCAGCTTAATTATTTGTTGTGAGAATAATTTGTATATGGTGTAATTTGAAGTATTATATTTGACTTTATGTATGTACAGTGCAAATTTTTAATTTTAAAAACGTTTAAATAGGGACATTAAATTGATAATTCAATGAAAGAATGATTTAGTTTTTAAAAGTTATTAAATTGACTCTCAATCGCAGTTCAATTGATCAGATAACTCGAACACATTAATCGTAAAACACTTTTTATGGCTTTAGAAGTGGAAATAAATCAAAAACTGATTTGACCTAATGACACATTGCAAATACATTTTAGTCTTACTGGCAAAATCAAGAGATTGGGTCATCAATATCGTTATAAAAGTCAAGAATTACTGGCAGTTCGCCCACTCACGTGTTATACAAACTTGACAATTGCGGACACGGGGTAATTTACAAATGTTAAGTACAACAAGCAAAACTGGAACCGAAACCTAAATGTAAATGCTCAATGAGTATTACATACACAATTGGTTGCTATGTAGGTAATAACTAACGTTACATGTTATTCTTAACTTAAGAACTATGTAAATATCTGCAATTAACTAAGAAACAGGTGTTCGGCAAGGCGAGATAATTGGGGTTCCATTTTAGGGCTTGCTATCGAAGCCAGCGAAATCTGATGCCTCGGACTCATCCTCATCCCTTTCGACGCCGATGCAGTGGATCCCGGTGCGCAGCATGGGCGTTCCCTTGCCCTTTCCCAGAACCCGGGCGGCGATCACCAGCTGGAGCAGCTCCTTGGCATTGGACGAGCTGACGATGTGCAGGACCTCGCGCAGCAGCTTCTCCTTGTAGGCGAAAAACTCGATTTTCATCTCGAAGAAGTCATGCTCGTCATGCTTGGTGCCCTCGAACTCGGTAATTCTGCAGTGCAGACTCGGCGTGGCACTGACCAGCGGCTCAAACTTGCTGCCCAGCGTCCCCGCATCGCCAAAAAGCGACGTCGGTAGCTTCAGTTCGATCAAGTAGCGATGGTTGATCTGCAGAAATCCCAGGCTCACGACAATCGTGTCGCCCGACCTTTGATATGTGACACAACTGTCCGTTTCGAAGCCATCCTTCACCGTGTTGGAGTCAAAATGGACATGGTGGTCTGAAAAAGAGGAAGGGTAAGGGTCAGATTTTAGGAAATTCATAGGATAACTCAATATTTAAAATACAAAATTATAACTGTGACTTTTGCCTAATAAATATGGAAGAAGCGTATACTTCATTTTGGATGAAAATACTTTGCAATGGTATAAGAGCAATTATTTTGGATTTTTAAAGACACTTTGACAGGAGAAAAAGGCATTCATATAAACATCATAACAGCAAAAAACGTAACTACAAATTATAATATTAGTAGAGCTCTCGAAGCTAGAAACCTATCTACTAATAAACCTGACCTTTTACAAACTACAAAGCAAATTCCACTCGCCCGCGGAGCTTTCTAAATTATTTGCATTTCTGCGATTTGTAAGTTTACACAGAATTTAATTGAGAATCGTGTTTGTTGAACAAGCTCAACGGATGAATTAAAAATTGCGTTGTCCGGAGCCAAAGGTCGGCCAGGTAGACAAGTAAAATCGAGTAAAATTGCCGTAATAAACCTAAGTATTCCGAGATAAACAAACAGGCAAACAGAAGTCTTGGCCCCGCCTCGGTTAAATTTTCCCCAGCGGCATTTGCAGCGGAAATTGCGTGTAAGCGTGTAATTAAACCCCCCTACCGCCTCCCCTGTTCTTACACAGTGGAAAATTATAATACGTTTGACTTGTTATTATCAAATATATAGAATATATATATCTTCATATTATATCATATTTAAATTAATTACAAATTATGTTATATAGCTTTATATTTATTCTTGAATTAGCTTTTGAATTTCAATACAGATTTTATATTTTACGTGCATTTTCTCTCTGTATAATACGACGAACGAGTGGGGAATTGGAGATAGGCAGTTAGGGCTTAAATCACATTAAAATTGGGTCAATTGGGACCAAGTGCACTGTTGTTATGTGACTTGAAGCGTCTAATTTCGCACTCCAGAGAGCGAATTCGGAAACTTGGAATTGAATTTATAAATAAAAACCATTGTCCGGCTTTTAATTGCTATCAGCACATGCCAATTGTGTATACAATGATGAATGAGCAGGGGTATATATTATTTTTATTGTTCACCAGAAAGTTAATGACTTTAATATTTTCCTGGCGGAAAAATATTATATTTACATTCATATTAACAGGTTGATTTTAATTTTAATTTCCCATAGAATATAATATATTTTATTTATATAAACTACACCTCAACCTCAACAAAAGTCTTTATATAATACTTTATAATAAATTTATTCAATCTAAAACTGTGTTTCATTGGCACCTCTTTTTTGCATCAGATGACCGTCTATCAATATGAATCATTATCCGTTTAATCAATATCTACAATGATCAACCAAAATTAGCGCCTAAAACTTATCAAAGCGGATGGTGCTAATCTTAGACATAAGGCAATTCATACAACTAAAAACAGATAGTTTTTATCAATTAACAATTCGCTGGCAAATGTTTCTGGAGCTATACAAATTCGTCAGTCAAACGAGCCTCTAATCAGACTTCTAATCACAACCGAGCAATGCCCCTGAGATATCTATAAGGTCCCCCAGTTAATCATAGGCGATTGCCTCAGATATTGTTGGCCATTTTTCAGGGCCCCGAGAAAGTCTAGTCTCTGCTAAAAATAGAAGCCTTGACTAGTTGGTCATGCCACTGGCATTGGCAATTGTAGCAAAAGTTTGTTCTTTTCGGCAAAACCATTTCCACATGGACGTGGAAATACAGACAGTGCGTTTCGAAAACTTAAATAAAATATAGGGGATCACCAGATTTAGAAAGATGTCAATTATAGACTTGACTTATCATGCAGAAATGTCATTTTCCTATTTACTCCAATTAGGTAATAAATTGTAGTTTGCCTAATGAGTTTATTTATTTTAAACTAAAATATCCCCTTCCCTCCACAGTTTTCCTATCTTTTTGAAACGCGTTGTACCTTTTGTCTTCCGTTTCAAATAGATATTTTGGTATGTTCTGATGTCGCAATCATTGGAATGTCTGCGCAAACGGTTGATATTTTATTTTCATTTTTTTTTCCTTACGATTCCCCAGTATTCTGTTGTTTATTTTGGCTGATCGCCCGCTCAGCAGAACGTAATAATTCAGTTTTGCACTTTAGTGTGCAGGAAATGTGAACATGATTTTTATTTGTAATTTATTCTATTTTTTGTAAATGCAGACGAATGCGAAATTAAAGCAATTTTCCGGTCGTTTCTTTGCCATTTCCATTTCCCAGTATGTAAGCAATTTATTGTAATCCAGCTTAATCTGCTTAAAGTCGATTCAACAATGGAGGCGTCGCTTTCACAATGCCAATTCATCCGCTCTGCCAAGTGTCGCGGGAAAAAGTAGATTGTTCTTTTTATAAATTTCATTTAAAGTCATGCGCCACACTCAAAAATCCGGCTGGCTGTGGAAAACAGTCTCACGTGCCCCCCAATCACCATTGATTAACCATTAATGGAAATTTACAATCAAGACGGCAACTGTTATTGCTGGAAATTCAAATTTGAGTAGACAATTTTTGGGATTTCATCTGCTGCCTTTGCCGCAATAGCATCAATTTTTGTATTCAAATAAATTATCCGATGCATATCTGACAGATTGTCTACCAATTGAATTCTCGTTGGCTTTTGTCTATGTATTTCAATTGGTTCGTTTACTCAAATATATTCTAATTTAATGTCTGGAAAAGGGGGCTAGACAATCCATGAAACTCTTCAGGCAGTGAACTAAATGATATAATCATAAGCTGGGTATATCTATCCTTTAGAGAGAATTTAAAGAAGAAAAGTCATATTTTTTATGAAGAACATCTTTGAGAAATATTTTAAGAATAACGTGTTCTTGATTATGTTTTAGCCCAATTTGTCAAGTGTCAACTGGCCTGTGTCCAGTTCTCCTCCCCCACATTCTAAATTATATAATTCTATCCTATCTATCTATCCTATCCTTTAAAGAGATCTTAAAGAAGAAAAGTCCTATTTTTTAAGAAGAATATCCTTGAGAAGTATATCAAGAACAACCTGTTCTTGATTGTATTCTGTCCCACTTATTAGCCCAATTTGTCAAGTGCCAACTGGCCTGTGTCCAGTTCTCCTCCCCCACATTCTGAATTATATAATTCTCGCCCATTAGATTTTATGTATTTATTATTTGTTGGGCGGTACTTGTGGGTCTGCCCCATAACTGATGCAGGTGCTTCCCTACGGGGGGGATGCCATAAAAAGGCATCCGTACGTGCCAATTCGAATGTAGGAAATGCAAAGCAAGAACAAAATGCAAACATGCATAACAATATTGTAAATTGTGTTTTTCTGATTTTCAAATCAAAACAATTGAAGGGGTGGCCGTGTCCCAACGAGACAAATATCAATCACGAACACCTCATGGGCGGTGGGCGGTGAAGTTGGGTGGCCCAAAAGGGGGGTGCGCAAAAAGTAGCCCCAAGTGGTGCTACCTCAGGCAACAAAAACAACGGGGCCAAACAACGTGCCCGTCGGTTTCCCCGGCTTTATAAATAGCCCACCTCATGAGGATTGCACAATTGCATATCACTTTATAGAAACAATAAAAAAAAAACAACCTGACTACAACAATGGGAACCTCTGCTGGCGGTCTGGTTATATGCAATTTAATTAGGGGTATCGTTGTCATCGCCATTACGGCCTTTGTTGTTGCTTTCGGTTGGTTCTGGGGTGCTGAAACTATAATCTCCGGACGGGCGCTAAATGAATTTACAATTAGCATTGCTCATGAAAACGCTTGGCAAATATTATCAAGCGCTAACTCACGACAATTTGCATGGTTCGGCGATAAAGTGTAGGAGAGAGCATTTTTAAATGCTATACAAATAACCACGTTTGGGTAAAAACAAACGATTTGGATTTATAGGTGATGGGTTTTTCTAAGTACATAAGTCACGTAAATTCTCTACACTATTTTCTTTTGTTCTTTTCTGATAAACCCTCTTCAAATTTAATAAATATGATATAAATAAATATGTTTTCCAACATATGTACCCCCTATAAAATGTAGATCTTCATACAACCAACATATACTAAGTTGTTTCCCATAATAGATCGAATATTACCGCCACTTGAAAATGCCCCCGAAAAGCCAGATAAAACCTAATTGATGAAAGTGTGCATACACTTGTAAAGTGAAAATTATGTGCGTTTTCCATGTGTTTATGGCACACAATTCATTAACTTCTGTCAGGAGATCATAAATTAAAACTAATCTAAGACAATTTAAGAACGCTTCGGCAGGCTCAACTGCCAGTGATAAAATTCTGGTCGAGCGCCGTTTGAAATGATAAGGGAACCCATTTAAGTCACGCGAATTGTGGCTAAAACCTGAGGCGGGAAAAATGAAAATATCATCGATACCGTCGACAAATGTCAAATGATTTCTGCAAGGGCGGCCCAGGGGGTGGTATGTGAGGAAAATTGGCTTAGTTTTGGCCCTGAACCAATATTATTTTTAATATTGCGGCAGAAAAGCAGGAAGAGGTCAGGAAAACTACAATAAGTAGGGAAAAGGGAGAGGGCGGAAAACCAAATGTGTGAAGTGGACAGGAAGGAAATGGCCAAACACTCGTGTACATTTACACAAAACGAAATTTGATTAGCTTTCTTACTATATAAACGACCAAAAATAGTAAAATTATTTTTTAAAAATATTTTTTAAACAAATTATACACATTTCCTGCATAAAATGATTAAAAATTTGTCATTTAGAAATAATCTTGAATTGTCAGATGACAAATTTAAAAAGAATTCACATTGGGGTGGGACCAAAATAGTATTTTTTTTATAAGTAGCATCAATTAAAATGTTTGTATTGCATTTTCTAACTACCTTTTTATCCCTTAACTTCGATTTTTTCGAGTGTGGATCAAAATGCAGCTGTGCTGAATCCCAGAAAAGGTCAACAGGAAACGATTTTCCTTGAGTTGCCTGACTTGCCTAAATTTAGCCAACTTCTCCTCTGTTCTAATTAATCGGGATTATTTCGCAAAAATCCACCACCTTCACTGAAGCAGCCAAGAAAACTCCAAACCACGGGATTTGGCTTAATGATATTTTAACGCACTTGAGGAGTTTCTATGCAAATATTAGAGCGCCCTTTAATGGCTATGCAAATGGGTTGAGCAAACACCGGGATAATGCGAATTTTTACCTTGATGATCCACGTTCTCGGTGGCTTCGTCGCACATTTTGGTATCCAAAAAAGTTGTGTTGGTAATTAATTTCTTGGTGGGGTGGTTAAATGCCAGCGTTTTTCCGTTCTTCCGGAATTTAAAGGAACCAGACGGCGCTTTTCTCTCAGGTTTCTCAATATTCCAGCAGCCAAAACAGATTTAAATCCAACAACCAACAACGTCGAATAACAAAATAAACATAATGCAGTGTGGAATTAGCGCAATATCGCGAAATTACCTGTATAATATACCATATTTATTTATTCAAATATACCAACAGCCGATACACCCACCTGAAGTAGCGGATACACTATCCAGGGTGACCATTCTGTAATGTTTTTGGTATTTTAAGTTTTATTTTGGTATATATTTAAGTACACCAGAAATATTCCTCTAACAAAGGCGAGGCATTTCATTAAAAAATAAACAATACCGATTATTCAGTTTTATTTAAAAAACAAATAAATTTATGAAAACAAGCCTCCAAATTGTTAATCCAACAGAACTCTGTTCACCCTTGAAGGCTGCCTGCTATGCAAAAATTGCCGCCTTTTTTAGCCCCTAATCCGCCACAGGGCTGCCACCCTTACGCAACCAGCATTGCCAGACCTCGCAAAGTATATATTTTTACAAAATGGTGGCTTCTTCGCGGAGAAATTCGTAGTGGCGATTATTAACAAAAAGCACGCATTTTGGCCAGCCAATTATAGCAAATTGTTGGCGAAAACACTCGCAACGACGCTGGCTGCGGCGTTTGGCTGGAAAACTCGCGGAAAAGCAACCGAAAAACGCGCACGAACCCAGTGAAAATAACTGAAAGCGAAGGCAGGCAATAAAAAAAACGCAAGCAAGCAACCAAAGTGCGTGCCTGTGTGTGTGTGTGTGTTTCTCTGCGTCTGTGTGCGGCTGCTCTCTGTCTGTGCATGTGTGTGTGTGTGTCTCTCTGTCAGTGTGTGTGAGTGTGTGCGCAAAGTGTATGCAAAAAAAGAAGAAGAGAAACGGAGAAGAGCATTAAAAAAAAACAGCGTACGACGAGTTTCACGCGCCCAACAACAAAAACACCAAGAGCAGCAATAGCACCAGCAACAAAAACCACAACTCTTGGCAGCAACAGCAATAAAAACAACAAACAGCAGCAGCAGAAAAAAAACGTAAGGAAAAATCTACAACAAGTGTGCGAAAATTAATTATTACTAAGTGTGTCACTAATTTAATTTGGAATCGCAGTTGCGCAGCTTGCAAATCATTTAAATTTATGCGACGTCTGTCGAGTACAAAAAAAAAACGGGCCTAAAAACGGTAAAAACGGGCGAAAAAAAAGAAGAAAAACAGTGGCTCAGTTTTTAAAGGGGCGGCGGGAGAATCCAGTCTATTATGAACTTTTTGGGGTAGAACAATGCAAACACGAACGAAGGCTCAACAAATTTGCTGAAAAGGAATCGCAAGCGCAGCAGCAACAACAACAAGGCCAAATCCAAGCGTCAGCAGTAAAGGCAACAACTAAAATACAACAACAATACAACAACCCACCACCGTCGTTGGGTTCCCTTAGCTATTGTTGTTGTTGTTATCGTCGGCGTCACCACCGACGCGACGCGACGCTCTTGCGGCCAGCGCACCCACCACCCCCCAAGGATGCTCCTTGCTTTTGACCCCCCTCCGCATCCGCATCCTCTGCCCACGGCCCTGTTCCCATGACCGCTCCTGCTGGCCGTGCTTCTTCTTGCTCAACTGCTGCTGCTGACGTTGTCGGAAAATGTGTCTTGTTGCCCTTTTGTCGGCTGATAAATAAGCAGAAATCCTTACTGTTTATGCTAGAGGATTTCCCAGGATATCCCCATTTAGCAAAGTTAAAATGTGCATTATCCAAAAAGGTTTTATATAATACAGAGAAACTTTTGTAGTGGAAAGATTTAAAGCTTATATGGATACTAAGTTACAAAACCTATAGTTTTAACTTTGAATATGGCATATAAGCTCACTAAAGTTTCGACTGAATTTACAACATATTTTATGTAATCCTGTTCAACAACTTTTGTTTGGGTTTATTAAGGGTTGGAAAGTAAAAAATACAAAAAAGGAATCAATCTAAGAATTCCATCAGTATAATCAGATTTAACTATTCCAATCCTAAATCTTTTTCTTAATTTAAAACCTTAGTGTTTGAAAACTTATTTAATAATTTCATTTCTAAAGCAAAAACTGTTTGAGTACATTACATTTTCCATTACCAAAAAGACCATTAGGTTTATGAAAGTAAAATTAAAAATTTATAATTGCAAATATAGCCAAATTTTTGACCGCTTTTCGTGGAAAGACTGCTACTGTTGCATTGTTTTTCTGTGGGGGTTTTTGAACCGCCCCCACCTGCTCAATTCTTCAGTTGGGCTCTTTTCTATTCTTTTATTTTCTTCTCCTTGCTTAATCATCTCCGTTGCCTCAACTCTCACCTACGTCATCTCTTCGCCTTCCAGCTGTGTTTGTGCAAATTAACCAAAATATACATTTCCGGCTACTCGCGGCCCCCTCGCTGAGCAGCAACAACAACAACAACAGCAAAAGCAACAACTGGAGCAACGATATCAAGAAGAACAGGAGCAGAGCAACAACAACAACAGCAGCCAAGTCCGCCCATCCCCTTCCACGTCCATCGACCCAGCACATCATCATCATCATCATCATCTACTGGAGTCTGGAATCTGCAGACGGAGACCGGAGACCGGAGTTACTTTGCCGCCTGCTGCTGGAGAGAGGAGCTTCTTCGGGAGTAACGCCTCGACGATACACAACCCCGACCCCGGATTCATGGTGAGCCAAGACATCTGCTCACCCGGGCACACATTTAATTATAATTATTTGTTTGCTTAATTCGATACTCCACGCTGGCCCCCGTCTCATGTGTCACATCCCCTGTTCTTACGGTTCGGTCTCGCTTCGTTTCGGAAGGGTTTCTGCCGGGCTAATGGAGGAAACTATTTTTCAATGGGATCCCAAATCAATTAGACAACTGGGGGCGTGTGGCCATATAATCCGTTGCCTATTGTTGGCCATATTCGGATTTCTGCTGTTCATTTTTGGTCTGGTATTTAGGGGAACTACGATTGGTTCCCAAGATAAGGTAGACCCAAACCCAACTATACCAGATTGTTATCGGTGTTATTGTAGACTGCTAATGAGTTGCCTTGTAGGGCAATTATAATTCTCTTGTTTCGGTTGGAATAATGTTAAATTTTACAAGGGGATGGTGTGGGCTTGTAAAAACAAGTGTTTTCCATAATTTTCCACTTGCTAATAGGTACAGGAATTTACAAAACTGTTTTACTATTGTTACACAACTTTTTTTTTATAGCTCAGCTATAAGAAAAAGCATTATAAACAGTAAACTGATTAGGAAATGAGTCGCTGTAATTTAAGTAATCATTTTAAATATTAGGCTATTTATAGGGATATTGTTTTATAGCCACATTTAGATGCTTAACCTAAATCTGGTTAAATAGGTTACCTAGTTATTGTAGGCCACTTGTTATTTAAATATTATTGTGCAGGCTTAAGTTTGAGCTAATGAGGGATTACCAGTCATCTGATACCCGCATTTACCCATTGTACAACGGGGATTTACGGATTTCGTTATCTCTTCTAATGAAGTGCCTCTTTACCTTTAACCTGCTTTTCGACAAGTGAAATCCCAGTCATTTGGGTTCTTGGAAAGATGGAGATTGATTTCGAGGAAATGCCCAGACAATTTGCACCGCCTGCGGTGCTTATCTCATTTCCACATTTTCATTTGCTTAGCGCGCGCTCACTTATCTCCACCACCAACATTCAAACCACCCAATCCACCCAAACCACCCAATCCACGAAGAAGGCGGCGGCGAGGCCATCTGATTAGAGACGCATTAAAAGTCTGGAGTGGAGTGTTTAATTAATAAATAACGTGCTAATAATGCATTTAATAAAAAAGTAAAACGAACGACGCCAACGGAAACTTGAGGAGCACAAATAGCTGGCATATTTCTGAAATACAAATACCTAAAAAGAAACATAAAATGCCGTTGAGAAATGGATGAGTTCCCTTGCGGTTTTCCTGCTCTTCAGGTTTGGTTCGGTTCGGTTTTGGATTTGTGTTGAGCGTTTTTTTTTTATGTTACACAGTTGTTGGCTGCCTTTGATGTCGGGGTTTTTGTGCGCGCTTTCATATTTTATTATTAGTCATTTGGCTTATTTATAAGGTGCCGTTAAAGTTTAACTTTTATTAATCTGCTTTGTTGCGCTTTTAATTTATAAGTGCTGCTTATCTGATTGACTTGACTCGAGTGTGTCGATTTATTGATGTCGATTAGACGACACTGAAGTAAGCGGAAGGTTTCCCCCTGTTCAAGTTTCCTGAGTTCTGCCCCCTTTTAGCTTTGCTATCCATTACATAAGCGAATTAATTAGCATTGCTGACTGGGCAGCCAAGCGGCTTGATCTAAGCCATCCCCCCTCGACTAAAGCTGGCTAAACCTTGGCCCTAGAGGTGTGTACGTGAGATTAACTCGTGTGGTGGCAATTGGTAAATGAAAGTGTAAACACAAGTTAACTTAAGCCACTGTCTGACACATGCAGACAAATAATAATCATTTATTATGGATATGTTATGGTTCGCTTAAAAGTGAACATGATAACTTTCAATATAAATAGAAGAATAGATTGTGATGATCCGGCTCGAAGGATCAAATTTTGGAAAAGCATAACAGCATAACAGGAAGAATGTTTTTCAAGATGGAAACTAACTAAACTAAACTAAATCTTGGGGACCATATTGTATTCAAAACCTCCATAAAAACATTATTTAAACATCCCCTTTAAATATCAAACGTCACATCGCCTCACGATGTTATAGCTAGTCAAGCACTGTCAGTGCTAAATCAATTCCAGTTACTGTTTCTGTTACGTGTTAACTCCATTTAGCGATAAGATAATTAGCACACACAAAGTGCTTATTAAAATACACAATGGCAAGCTGTATGTCGGCGTATTATTATTATTTATACTTTATTTATAAAGCGAGAGAGAGAGAGAAAAAAGTATAAATAATTAAGCTCGTGTTAATCAGTGTAAAATCAATGAACTGCCCGAAATGGGTGAGAATATAATGCAAAAGCGTGTTAAATGGGCCCATAAATCTTTGGCGTTGTGTGTAATTCTATTAGCTGAGCGAAATAATATGGCCCAAG